TATATATATATATATATATATAAGGGAGACAAATACAAAAGGTCTGTATATCACGGCTCTGTTATATAAAGAAGAAGAAAACAGGAAGAAAAAGAAGAAAAAAGAAGAAAAAGAAGAGGAAAAAAGAAGAAAAAGAAGATATTTAATTGGTTACACTGCATGCATGCAAGCAACAACAACAACAACAACAAGAGGCATAGGCTCTGCTTGTTTATAAATTTGCATAAATATATTTGGGGCTTGCATGCATGCATGCATGCATGCATGCATAGATATGCTGCGCTGCAACAAAACAAACAAGTAGTAATTATATATGCATACACCTCAACTTGCATCACCTGCTGCAGTTCAGGTGTATAGGCACCTCTATCATGCATGCATGCATGCATGCATGCATGCATGAATGCATGCGGTGCCCATAATTATAATGGGGTGTATATACACCTAATAAAGAAGAAAGAAAAAGAGCAGCAATTTAAACAGCAAATAAAAGCAAACAAAGCCAACAACAACAACAACAATAACAATAACAATAACAATAACAATAACAACATAATCTTATTGCATGCATGCATGCACTGCTGCATGTATGCATGCGCTGCTGCATGCATACATCCATGTAAGATATTTAGAGTAGGATATATGCATGCATGCATGCATAGATCCTACTCTTTTGTATGCATGCATGCATGTATGCATGCGCATGCATGCATACAAGTATATTGAATAAATAAAAAGTTGTATATATATATATTCTTCTTTTTCTTCCTCCCTTTTTATATAATAATATATATTATATATACATGAATACACCACCGCATACACTTCTGCATGCATGCATGCATGCATGCATGCATGCATGTAATTCTTTGTCTTAATAACAATAATAAATAAATCGTATAATACATAAGAATAAAGGAAATAAAATAAATAGCAACAATAATACATTATATATATATATACAGGAATAAGAAGAAAAAGAAGAAAAAAATAATTATATATATGTATAGATAGAGGGAATTGAGTAATATTCTTGTATAAATTATTTATTATTTATTTATATATATTTATTCGTTATTTTTTGTTAATAACAACAACAACAACAACAACAACATAAATAAATAAATAAATAAATAAATAAATAAAATAAATAAAATAAAATAAAATAAATAATAAATATATCGTATAAC